AGGAAGCTGAAAACAACATCCAGAGAAAGAAGAAAGAAGCTCTCCTGGAAGAAATTTGAGGAAAGTTCTAAGAGAAGTCGGAACAACCGCGGAACTTCCAAGACATAAATTGAGAAACTTCTGGCGAAAATTTAAAGAAACTTTCAGAAAAAAATATTGGATTTCCCATTCAAAGGAAGACAGGAAAGTTTCGGAAATCAGAAGTAAATTCCAGAAGTAGTCATTTCCAGGGGAAGCCAGAAGAAGCTCGGAAAAACCTTCGAATAGAAGTAAAAAAAAACAACTCGCAAAATTCCAGAAATAGCCGAAAGAAATTTCTGGGAGAAGTTTAATTGAACTTCCCGGAGAACATTAAAGAAACTTCCTGGATACGCTGGTAGAAACTTCCTAAGGTAGATTGGAAAAAAAAATTCTGGAGAAAGTTGGAAGCCAGAGCGCTTACGGAACAGTCGAAAGAAACAAGGACATAATTTCGGAAGAAAGAGCTCCTGGGGGATGTTCTAACAATCCAGAAATTTTTCCAAATGATCATAACACATCCCTGAAGACCCCGCAATGCCCCTGAAGTTTTTGGAACATTCCTGAAATGTACCTAGGAATATTCCATATTTCCTCGGAATTCCTTAAATGTTCTTATAATTTTCCTTAAGTTGATAGGGCTGTTTTTGAGTACTCTGCTAATCTTTGAAATACTTGGAACTTCCCTGATTATAATGAGGGTCATTGAAAGTCTCTAGACTTTCTTGAAGATTACGGAATTTCTTAAGTGCTCTCACAATTTTTCTTCATTGAAGTTCTCTGATCCTTCCGATTTTTCTAATTTTTAAAAGTTATCAACACGAAACTTCCCATAAAATGTTCTCACAATGTGCTAATGTTCATGTAACTTCCCTTACGTTTCTTAAATTTGCATGAGCCCCTCGGAACATTGCTGAAATTTTTGGAAATCACCTGAATATCTCGGAACTCCTTTAAAATTTCAGCGATTTCCTTGAAATTTATTGACCTGTCCGGATGTTCTCGGAGCTTCCTATCCTGTCCTGAAAACCATTAAATTTTCCGGAAGTTTTTTGGACTTGTGAAGTATCCAAAATATTTATGATGTTTCCTTAAGTTCACTGGAGTTCGCTGGACCGGGTTTTAGAATTTTAACAGAAGTTATTGAAACATTCTTTAATTTATCGAAACTTACTCAAAAGTCTGGACTTTTCTGAAGTTTCAGAACTTCTTAAAAGCTCCTGCAGCTAGTGTGGATCCGCAATCAAAATCTGGAAGCATCCCTTAAGTTCCAGGACAGTTGAAAAAATCTGGCGGGAGAAGATGGAATAATCATTCGAGCGAAGACTGAAGAAGCTTCCAAGGGAAGTCGAAATAAGTCGCCGAGAGGAATCGAAAAATTAATTAATTAATTAATTTAGCTTTATTTAGGAGGCTTTTGGAATCGAAAAATAATTTACGATGTAATGTGGAAGAAAATTCCAGGGGAAAGTTGGAAGAAAATTCAGGAAGTTAAATGATGTTTAAAAAGTATTTCCCGATTCCCCCGGAATTACCAGAAAGAGCCATCGACTGTTTATCGATTCATGGGTCGTCAAAAACGGTGAGAAAATTTAATCGACAGAGTATCCATAAGACATTTTTGAGGATGATTTTTTTTTTTTTTTTAGAATTTTGAAGTCTAAAATAATTTGAAATATTCAAAAAGATATAAGTCTGTCACAATAATTTTCTCCGAAATTCGAGCGCGGGCAGGCAATAATCATTTTGGTTATTTAAAAAAAAAATCGGTATAAATCGGTACAAAATCTCAAAAACAGGTATTCTGAGGAACCTTATACGGAAATCGGTATAAATACCGATAAATCGGTATATCTGGCAACGCTGCTGGTGAGTTTTGTTAGCTTGATATTCCGAGAGCTGCGATATCACAGCTTGCTAAATCAACGGCAGCTGTATGCTTGTTGATTTTTGTCAACGAAAATCAAGCGTGATCTTGGGCATTGGTGAGATTTGATTTTTTGATATTTTCCCAACACTGCTACTATGTCATAAGTGCAAGATGCAGTGTTGTCCAGAAAACAGTCAATTAGTCATATCAGAAAGTTTTCGGCTTTGAAATCAATTAATAACTAATTACCTTGAAGGAGCAAAGATGTAGATGATAAAATTTCAAATAAGAACAGATAGCATTATGGCGAAGGGCGGAACGATGAGAACGAAAATTTCGCTTTTCCTATCCTTCCCCAGGGTTGAAAAAGCATTTCCTTTCAAATTCAAATGACGCAACGTAGATGGTACTTGAGTCTCGAAAACAGAAAAGAAGAAAATGAGGGCTTAGGGTGGATGCATAAATGACGTAGCATTTAAGGGTGACCAGCCTTGTAGAAAAATACGCTACAAAAGGAAGGGGGTCCGACGTTGGTGTTTCATCGAACACTCCCCCTTGTAGCGTATTTTGCATCTTCCCTTATGTGATTTCACATTGCATCGATAAATAGAACATATGTGTGGATCATTTTCAGCCATCGAAAATATCGATTCGTTGCATTTAAATAAGCGAAAAATATTAACATACTGTGGGTGAGTGTATTATTTGGAAATCTTTCACCAATTTTGTAATGTTGAAAGCTACTTCTTGATCTATTTGAATTCCTTTATGGTAAATTCACGGGATTCCGTTGTGTTGGGCTTCTGACCAGTTTCCCCATTTTCTGGATTCAGCAGATATTTCTTAATAAATTGGCGATTCTTGAAGGCTTTCTGCATAATATCGCACTAAATTCTAACCGAAACTACCCGAAACAAGAAAAAACGGAACAAAATCAATACATTTCTGACACCGCACACTTCGATCATCCTTGAAATATTGCTGAGAATATTCATAAACGTATCCTAAAATAACACACATGAAAAAACTCGGGCAATCATTTCATGACGACATTTTGAAAGGCAGTTCCAAAATTCTGACATATAATTTGTCATATAAACCATTTGTGTATTTCGATGCTTTTAATCCTATTTAACACCAACACGGCCAGTGCACAGAAAGCATCCTGGAAAATGATGGATATACCTCCACACCATGTCTATTTGATGTATGTTTCACATCGAACATACGCGTTTTGATCATCAAGTCTAGAAAGGTTAAGTGATGCTCCATTTTCCTCTGACGGTTGAGATATGAGCACTTATTCTTGCCCTAGCCATTTATGGCCATTACTCGCTTCCATTTGATTATTTCGGTGATTCATGCAAAAATTGCGTCCAGGAATGAAACATAACTTCATTCAAATTGTAGGTGAGTGTTTTCCCACATTCACACGAACCAGCATGAGCACTCTCCGGAATTTTCATGGAAATATGTGATGAACATTTTCAAAAATGAAAGCAAATTGGGTCGATAGTATCTTTTCAATAAACTATTTGAATGATTTGATTTAAGACTGATGAAACTGCATGCATAAGTGCTCTCACTCTTCAAATCAAATAATAGTTTTTAAATTGCAGTCAAGTCAAATTTTAAAACCTCTATCGATGCTCAATTCATGTAATGCCTTACAAGCATGATTTTATTTTATTTCAAAATCATTATTAGGGCCTTGTCAATAGGCACGGTATTACTTGGCATACAATATACAAATAAATGCCTTGGTCGGCATAGAAAGCTTCTAATTAATAACGGTGGAAGTGTATCTAGAACATTACGTTGAGAGCTGACAAAACGCTCGCTACAGAAGCGTAAAAAGCCTTGATAAAGAAGAAGATGTGGCTGTGCTTATTTAATTTTTTTCGTAGTTATTGAATCCTTCGACATTGTACGGGTGATTTTAAAATGATTACACCAGTAGGGAAATTATTGCCTTTCTCGTACATGTAGGTGTATCGAAAGACCGTAATAGCACATTAAAAACACATTTTTGGTCTAAGGCGCGGAGGGTCAAATGTCATACATATATACAGCTCGACGGGATTTGAAACTGAATGAACGATTTTTAAATACGTTCTGACATTCCGATGAAGCGATTAGAAAAACGATTAAAAAACAATAGTTGTTTACAATCGAAGCGCGTTTTGTTCCTTTTGATTTTTAGCGAGTATGACAGAAATGGGATCCACATTATAAAACAGTGATGAACCCTATGTTTTGATTGGATGAATGTGATTCGTAAATGACACTGCAATTCTAATTGTGCATCCAGCCAGGAGCGATTCAAAGACATGACGTTCACAAGTTTCTAGATTTTTTATCTCCTCTTCCTCCTCTGTCATACTTATTACATGTACTGTCAGGGGACGGCCCCGGCGTAATGGCCAAGGTCACGAGTTCAAATATCATTCCCGGACAAGTCACAAATGAACCAAGAGTGTTAAAGTGACTGTAATAAAAAAACACGTACTATCACAAGGATCACCTCCCCCAACCACCTTAAAAGTGGACGTCATATTTGATTTTGTTTTTGTAGTTTTGTATAATTGATATTTATGCGGATTCTGTAATGAATGGCAAAGTATGCTAATTCTGTAGCGGGAACATCGGAAGAGTTCATGTAAAATATGTTTATGTATTTAATTGATGTCTACTCAATACATTCAACTATATTATTTCTATAAAATATTGCTATAAAAGATGCTTGTTCATTACAGAAAATTTAAACTGAAAATTGAAATAAATTTCAGTAGATACACATAAGGGAAATGGATGTAATGTTGGCCTAAATGCCCCTAATTTGGGCCCATACATAAATTCAGCAATCGACTAAATTATCAATAGTGACCAAAAATATTCATTAGTACCGTCCCAATGACGCGTTCATATAAATAAAATTGATAAATAGCAGATTTTTAGCGATGGGCCCAATTAGCTTTAGTTTTAGCTGTGGTAATTGATATTTCAATATGAAGTTTGAAATGATAACGGCGGTATAATGGCTTTACTCAATCAAGAAAAATACGATCGTGTTTTATTTTTACACAGGATTATATTGACTTTTACTACTTACCATACTTGACCAGTTTCAAGTGGTTATTTTGACTCAGCTAATTGAATGAATTTAAATTAGCCAGGCTATGACTGCATGCGTGCAATTTCCATTCCAATTGAAATTCAAGGCTAAAACACGTCTGCACAATCCAGCAAGGGAACGAGCAAATATCTAACAACCGAATCGGAACGGAAAAATATGAAACGAAAAACCATAAATTTGAGTAGCAATCATATTTTTCCCTCAAATCTAATGCTCACCTGTCTGTGAATAATTCTTCCAGTCATCCATGAGTGACGCTTAATTTTTCTCATTGACTAAATTTGCTTCGGCATCAAGGTGTAGGAGTCCTGAAGCAATTTCTACTTCATTTTATGTATTTTGAATCCACTTTACGATACCAACCAGTTGCCTGTCCTAGGGGCAAATTCGTTCTAACTAGTTGATTTATTTCTTCAAACGCTTACACGCCCGTTGTAAATAACTCAGAAACTGAGTCAAGTTGACTCACTTTATTTCTTCCCATACACATTTTACACAGTTTTGTATAATGTGGAGTAACTCAGAGATATAAGTAACTCTACTTTTTACGAAACTTAGTATAATTTGTATGGGAAAAAAAGAGAGTGAGTCAACTAGACTCAGTCTCTGAGTTACTTTCGACGGGCGTGTATGGTATCTTTCACAAGTGTTCTTCGTTACTGTTGTCTCAATTTGAACTCTCCGTTTGCCACTTGTTTACTAGCAACAACAGCTTCATCAAAAATCACTCCGACTAATACGAACATGCTATCATCAATTCCCTCCTCTGCGCAAACGAATTAGGTAACGTTGACACCGATATGTGAACCTATGAGCTACTGTCCGCACACCCATTACAGCATCCAATCGGTAACTCTCGGGTGAAATGTTTCCCTCTAATGCTGCCCAACGTTGATCCACTTATATTCCGCACAACACTATGCCAGTTTTATTCAATCAGCGTGCATCAATAACATTCACTATGAAGCAATTCCTTACTGGACCACTTTTCGTGATTCGAAGCAACAAGCACTGTAGATTATGCCGAAGACAAACACGAATCAAAAATTACGCCCGTCGGCTGCCACGCGTGGTGTACTGGAGCAACGGCTACACCTGTGAAATGCTCGATAACCCGCGCTATACTGAACACAAAACACACGCGGTATCTTCTTTGGCCAACGTACCGTCGTCGGCGTCGTTCGCAAATTGAAACCATTCACAAACTCAGAGTTCATTCGGTTCACTTTGCCCTAGCAACATGGGGTGAGACACGTTGCTGTGTAACACATGTGTAGCCGACACTGTTGCATGAACTGCACCATTGATTTTGGATTTGTTTTATATTTTTGAAGGGTAATTTTCATTGGTTAATTTTCAGGAAATTCAAACCCTTCTTTTTTTGACGATATCTATAGAATAGATTTTCTTCTGTTAGTTGGTGTTACATTGCACATAATGCAGATCAAATCCTGAGGGACGTCGGACCAGCAAAAATAAGTAAGATAGATGGACAGAAATACGACGTATGTTAGAATTGTTCTCTACAGAGTATTGTTGTTTATTGAAAACATATGAACTAACGCAAGCCTCAATACACTCAATAGAACCTTACATTAACACGTTGCAAATAAGTATATTACCGAGAATTCTCTTACGAGTATATCTAACTATAAATTAACTTTCGTAGTCCTCGGGAAATACAGTATTTAAAGCAACTTCCCGTAAGTGTTTAATACATATTAAAGTAATAAATTGAAAATAACATGAAAAACGAATTTCCATTTGCGATCCTGCCGTATCAACCAAACGCAACGACCCCACTGATCATCCATCCACCCTTTCATCAACACCCAAGGTTAACGAAAACTTATAAACGCCCAACGAGTGCTGCTTGGATGCGCGAGTGTATGCAACCCGGTAAATTATCCAGTAATCGTTCATATCAGTCGGTATTTCAATTAAACGGTGATTTCCCAACTGCACATATACAGTAATACCTCCATTTATGCGGTGGGTGGTACCAACCGCCCACCGCAGTTTCCCGACTGCCCTTCGACCAATTATGCTGATTTTTTGTATGTGATATAAACTAGTTATCCAAAGAAAATCAGCTCAATTGGTTAAAGGACAGCCAAAAAATAGCGGTTTGTGAACGCAAATGGAGGGATTACTGTACTGCAGACAATTACGGGAAAGCAAAAAACCAGCTAAACCTGTTCCATTCCTTCATTGCCGGTGTTTTCAGATAAATGAGATGTAATAAGACGTTCAATAATGATTGAATTTAATTACTTAGACTATGCACTGTGTATATTTTCTGAAAGAATGCAGCAGCCATCGAGCCATCTTCGATAATGCAGCTGTTCAAGTTTCTAACGACTTATTATAGCCCTGGTAATAAATGATATTCAACGCAAAACAAAGAAGCTCTAGGTTGTAACCCGTCAAACCTTCAAAACAAAACCCACCACCACCATCGAATATGCAATATTTTGAGCGAGAATTCCTTTGAAAGACGCTATATGTATGAAGAGAATTGTTTAATCAACAAAACAAGCATAGCACAAAGAATCTCATTGATTTTCAATAGATACTGTTTAATAAGATGTCCCTCAATCGACCTCCTGCTCATTGTTCGAAACGTTCCATTTCGGTCGGCAGGACTTCTTCTTCCTCGCATTTTGAGCTTATAGCTTATCGCACATTAGCTTATTGCGTGCTCTCAAAGTGGTGTTCTATATGCACTGCTGTAACTTAATCAGTGACTTTCACATATCTTCACACAATCTGCTGTTCTATTTTTGCCAGAGCAGGTGCTCGAAGGGACAAAGTTTTGGCATTTCTGCGAGTTATCCGCATTTAATCTATCTTGAATTGTTTGTAGCATTCTTTGATAAATTGAATCATGATATCTACACATATCTACAGTTGACATTTGTCTGCGTTGTGATTCCTAGAGATTTACCAAACAATTTATTTTATTTCAATATGATAGCAAGAAAATACTTGCAAAGCGAAATATGTATCACTTGAATTTTATTATTCCATTTTCATTTGTGTATCAACATGCAACGATTAAAGAGCAAGAAGCCAGAAAATACACAACAACACTTTGAAAAAAGTTATTGCCTTTATTGAAACATGTTACTACTACACACCCACCACATTGACCCAAAGCCATAACGTGGTATTTTACGACATTACCGCAATAATAATAACAATAAGATCGTGAAAAATAACAACTCATCTAAAGTGTCGAAACACGATTGGAAGGCAGAAAAGGAAACAAGTTTCCTTCGCTTCCAATGTTCGCTCAGGATTGGGAACAATTTTCCTGATTATTTCTTTTCGTTTCAACTATGTATAATGTTAAGAATACCATACTTTGATGCCCTGTTAATGAGCTGGGATTTAATTTGAGGTTTTTTGGCTTTGGGTTGACGTAAAACAATCCCGTCCATGTTCGCCAAACTTCTTTCATTCAATGGTGGTATTTATGTTCAATGAACATGTTACAGGCTGCCTTTTTTCATAATTATTCGGGCTTACTGTTGGGATCCAGAAACCACGTTCGGCCCGTGTTCAGAAATTGATACGCAATTACTTTGAATCGTGAATTTAATTATTTTTGCAAGCTCTTTAATGTGCAGAAATGAAAGAAAACATTTACCGAATGGTCATCACAGACACATATTTCTAGTTGTTGGTTTTTGGTGACGGTGCTTCCGGATGGCAGCTGGCAAACTGAGATATCATAAACATCTTTTTTAAATCAAACTTGGACAGCCATGAGTGTACGAGCACTGTACAGATTTTTAATATTTCCTAAATTGCAGCTATAAGGACTGTTCATGTTATAAAACGGACATCAAAAACTGTCTGTAACTTTTTCATGTGTCACTAGGCATATGTACGGATTATGAGGCAAGCAAAAACATGCATTGCCCAAATTGATGATAATCAAATTTATTTATTTGATTATTGATTTAGTTATATATTTATTAATTTTTTAATGTATTTTTTATTTTTGTTTTATTAATTTATTAATTTATTAATTTATTTATTTATTGATATATTTATTTATTTACTTTTTATCGATTCAATAAGTTATTTATTTATTTTTTATTTATCGATTTATTTATTAATTATTAATTTATTCATTCATTTATTTACTTCTTTTTAATTATTTATTTTCAGTTATGCTCATTTAACCACTTCATGTAGCTTCACGTCATTCGATGAAACAGCGACGTGCACGCAGGCCACAGATGAACTTGAAGAATTTTGCTCCGTTTCTTGACTACCGTTAACCGGGGGTAAATTGATCACTGGAGTGAAATTGATCAAACAAACTGCAGAAAATAAGTTCATTTCTTTGAAAATTTACGTTTACCTTTCACCAATATTTCTAATCTTCTTCTCCTTATTCGCATTTCGCTTATTGCGTGCTCTCAACTTAGTGTTCTAAATGCACTTCCACAGTTATTAATTGAGAGTTTTCGATGCCAATGCATGAATTTGTATATTGTGTGGCAAGCAGAATGATACTCTATGCCCAGGGAAGTCGAGACAATTTCCAACCCAAAAGATTCCCTCAACTGGACCGGGAATCGAACCTGCCGCCTCCGGCTTGGTAATACCGTACCTTTACTGACTAGGCTATGAGGCCCCTACCAATATTTCTCAATAAGTTTGATTTTAATGGGAAGATCACCACTCCGAAAAAAAAATACTTACGTTTGATTACCTAACTGACTGTAATGAAGCTATATCAATTATTTTAACGCTAAATTAAAGCTAAAAAAATTTGCTTTCGGTAAAATAAACACCATTTCTCAGTTAGATTAGTGATATTGCTGGCACAACCACTTCAAAAAATAGTTACATTGCTTAAAAAATTAGCTGAAATTCAATATTTCTTGGATATAAGAAAAAATATAAACAAACTTTTAATTTACAACAACATCACTAATCAAAAAATAAGCAATGACACCGATAATGACCATGCATCAGAACCCTAGTATTAACCACTTCAAACTATGGAACAACGAATAGAAGATTAGGAATCACATAGATGAACTAATTCATTTTTTCCTTGTTTCAAGGTCATCCTCGGTGGACAAAGCCGAGTCTTATCACTATCATCAAGGCATGAAAAGTAATAAGAACTAAGATGTGTTCCTGTGATTACTGAAAAATCCGGTTCCCCTAGTTTGAAGTAGTCAAGACTAGGAATCGGTGATATATCTTACATCCCGTAACGTACGAAAAGGTGATCTACCGACGTTACGTGGGATCTGCCAATGCTACTTAAGACCTAATGCAATGTTAAGCTTGAATTCAAGCAGTAACTGGGATGTTACTATGATTGATAACGATGTGTGATTGAAATTG